GAAGAGTACGTAGTGTAAGTGGAAATAGTCGTTTTCCCTAGTGCATGCAGATTTTTTTCTTCATTCCCACTGGCTCTGCTCCTAAACTGTATGGTATCTGCCTAATTCAGTCTGCTACCTCTTTACACAGAAAGATAAAATGAAAACTTGTCACAGAACCTGAAAATGTTCAGGAGTCTTCATGAGGAGTCCTTGTCCTTAACAAGAAAATCCTCATCTTAAGCCCAACTGTTTTTCTAAATAATAAAGTGAATTATCTGTTAAACACAAAAATGACAGCCAGACTGGGAAAATGTTCACATGAAAATCACATCAGATATATTCTGCTTGCCTCCCACTTTGGGATATAGGTTCATTGAGTGGAATAATGAAGAATTACAAATACTATGTAATTTGACTTTTGGTGTTAGTGGGGCTATTTTGGTTTACATTTTTGATCAAGCAGATATAGTTTAATTTGGCTTTGTTAAATAAACCGATGAGAATAATAAGTTCCAATGTTTTTAAAAGTCATTGTTATTCAACATTCTAGTTCATAAATATGACTCCATATACTAAAATATGAATTGGTGGAAGTACATCTTCCCCAATGATGCTCAGATTATACCAAGTAGGTTTAAAAGTAGGTTTAAAGGGGAAGTTGCTCAGAAAGAAAATGGAAAACATCTCATAAAATATTAATAATATAGTAGAACTGTAATGTCATAAATGCAATTAAAGAGTGAAATATTTAATAAAACTTGAAGTTGTATAACTCCCATGTATACTAAGAAAAAGTAACTGAAAAAATTCATACCTCCAAATATTTCCAATAATTTCACTTTAATTGGGCCTAATAGTTGTTAGAGCCAGGAAGAAAAAAAAAAACTTAATTGAATTTCTAAGATATAAAAAGGTACATCTAACAGAAAAAAATAAGTAAATCCTTCAGGTTAATTTTGGCTGCGTTGATATGGAAAGGAAAGGAAAGGAGGGGCAGTGTTGCTGGGAGAACAAAGGTAACATAACAATAGGCTAATTAGTCCTTAAACCCCAGAGGGTGGGATTGCTTCCCGGAGAGGCTTTTGGGAACAAAAGGTCTCCCCCCATTAACTGGAATCTGGTGAAGGCTCCCTTCACAAAGGGACACATCAGTGACCCCTGACACCTGTACAGTTGTGAATGCAACTCGGAGGTGGAAACCCAGAAAGTCTCTTCTTCAGGAAGCGACTCCCTTCTCTAGGGACCTGTGGCCCCGATGATGCAATAAGCTCTGCACAGAGTTATCCAGACTAATTGATGAAAAGCAAGGAAGAAATAACATGGAGCTATGAAATCTCCCCAACCTGCAAGATGTTGGCAGGCAATGGATATGGAAAAGGAGTATTGTTTTTAACAATGTTGGAATCCCCGAAATAGCCCATAGTCTGGTGATAAATTCTTCCAAAGTAAATTAATCACCTCACAAAAAACCATCCATGAAAGTACTCTAAGTAGTATTCTTTCAATCCATTTCAATGATTATATCACAACTATGGATGGGCTGTGACGCACAATGCCTGGCCTGGGTCACTTTTTTATTTTTATTAAATAAGTGAAAAGTAATATTATAGCTAATAAATATATAATCACTGTTACTAATATCAAAAAAATCAAACTTAACCTCCAAATTAAATATAGAGTATCCCACACACACTTTGAAGAATATAAAGGCAGTGTTTATTAAAATGCATTTCATTTTCAACACTGAGCTATCTGCCGTTGAAGTGTGTACACATTGTTTGGCCATACGCTGTGTCTGTGTGTTCTGTTCACCAGAAAGTCAATAGACGGTCACTGTGTCCTCGCTATGCAAAGGTCGGTGTGATTTTATTCTTTAAGTAACTATATTTGCCCTCAGTTGGGTGATTAGAAACCATGGTGTAAACAAAAACATAAGATTTTTTTCACTCAATTCTCTAGCTCCCACCCAGTTTTTTTAACAGTATGGATAGGATTTGACTCTCCTCTCCTCTCTGGAGTTTAACATCCTCTCCTGAGAAAGAAGGGAAATACCGAGTCTCTGCTCTACTTCCACCTGAGGTGGGAGAGAACCACCCGCCAGACCCAGCCATAGGTCTCCTGGGCCCAGTGAGAGGCACCTCGCTAGCTCTTTGGGAGTCTCAGCGGGAGCAAAACCCTGCCACCGCTGTCCCTGGAAGTGGCAAGGGACCAGAAAGTGGAGAGAAATCATCCAGAGACGAGAGAGATACTAGATCGTTAGCCACAGTGTTCAAGTCCAGACCTGCCCTGGAGCAGCAGGCCCAGGCTACAAGCAGCAGTGTGGGCTGACTGAGCGTCAGGCTGGCATTGCAGGGATCATAGCTAAGAACCTCCCAGAAAGTGTCTTCCTCAGAAAAGGGCCTTGAGGTTCACAGATCCTGCCCACAACATACTCACTGGTTGCTTTTCCTTTAGGCAAAAATACTGTCAGAATTTTGTCTTTCAAATAAGTGTTTATGTAATTATCTCCTTAGTTTGTTACTTTAGAAATATTTTGATTATAATTTTTTAAAATCTATTTTAAAATATCTTACAGTTAGTAATTATTAATTTATGTCTGTCATTCTTTTTCCAATGCAGTTATTCACACATTCCAAACTACTCCACAATGGAATTTGTTTAAAGTATCAGTTCACTTCTTTGTCATCTCCCATTTCTTTGAAATGCATGATTCCATCATTTGATTTCAATTTCTTCCCTTTTTTAGTAACATTTCTTTCTTTTTAAAGAGATAGCTTTTGCCTGGCATGTGCGGCTCAGTGGTTGAGCATCAACCTATGTACCAAGAGGTCACGGTTCCATTCCTGGTCAGGGCACTGCCCAGGTTTCAGGCTGGATCACCAGTGTGGGGCATGCAGGAGGCAGCCATCCAACGATTCTCTCTCATCATTGATGTTTCTATCTCTATCTCCCACTTCCTTCCACTCTGAAATCAATAAAAATATATTTTAAAAAATAAATCGATAGCTTGTTTCATATGAGTTACTTGGGAAAATGTAGAGAATCTTTAATTTCATGAATTTCATTCATTCATAAGATTTTGGCACACTATTCCAATTCCTGAAATATAGGGCTATATTTTTATCCAGTAAGTGGTAAAAGTTCAACTGTTTGACATATGACACCATTGTGAAAAATGCAGTCTTTACATGTTGCTCAAAAATATACACGTATCCTTTGAAATCATTTCATTGAGGGTGAAATTAAAGTTTAGCATCTTATTTGCATGTAAATACTGAACCAAATCTATTTCAGGAAAGGCCATGCTTACTTTTGTTATTAATACTGAAGACTCTTGCCATATAAAGTTTTTTTTTCATGAAAAAAATGGTAATATATGTTGCAACATATTTCCACTGAGGATTGAGAGAGAGAATATCCTGTATATAATTTCTGACCTTTAAAATTCTAAAGAACAGGCCAATGGTACATACTTTATGACAAGGTCATTTACCAGTTTGTTCCTATAAGTGTCTTCCTAGTGGAGGAAACATATTGGAATATTTAGTAGATCCCTTTAGAATGAACATTCTTTCAGTCAAACTGAATTTTCTATGGACTATTAATACCGCTAAGTTTCATAAGTTCTCCTCTGGACATTGCTGTGTCTTCACAAACAAGAGCTTCAAAATTATGCACTTCCCGAAATCCATTCACTCTGTGCACGAACAATCGAGGCTACTGATGTCCGAGACAGAATCTATCTCAGACAGTGTGACAGTGGGGCCGGAGTTAGGGGTTTTCCAGAGCTAGTGCCATTCAGCACTGTGGACAGCTCCCATTAAGGCCTGAAGTTGGTGGCAATTTCCCTGTGTTTCTAAACAGAGCTCCAAAGTCATCTGCTTTGTATGGCTACACTTGTTTGCTGTTGAATAGACACCTGCTTAGGCGGCTTAGTGTGCTCGCACTCCGCTAGATGATTCTTTTTCGAACGAGTTCAGTTAATTAATTAATTAAGGCCACCCTGATTAGTGATTAGTTTTTCGTGTGTGTTTTTCGTGGAAAGCCCAGCTTATTCGGGAGCTAAAATAAAGTGGCTGAGGGTGTGCGCTCGCTAATAAGAGGATCTACTCCGCGACCTTCATTTGATAATCTCTACCCATGCTCTTAAGCGAATGAATACTTGGGTGACAAATAAGAACAGGAAATGTCTTCATTTTAAGTCTCCGAGGCAGCTACCCTGACAGCTGCCAGCTCCCTGCCCTAGTTCTCCAGCTGGGGAAAGCGGGAAGGAGGTTTCTGAAATAGACTTGGAGTCAAGGTCAAGAGAGGGTGTCCCTGTGTTTCAGGAAGGGAGTCTGAGAACGCCGAGCCTGGTTCAGGCTCGGCTGCCGGGCACGCTCCCGCCCAGCCCCTCAGCGCCGCGGGCACCGAACTCTCAAGTCTCGGCTGCGGAGCGCAGAACCCCGCGCCCAGCCTGCCGGCCACTGTCCGCAGAAATGCATGAGGATGCCCAGCGCCTGTACACGGGACACAGATGGACACTCCCGGGCCGAGAGCGGCCCGAGGAGCGGGGACCTGTGGGTGACTGTCCCCCACTGGCCGCCCCAACCTCTGCTCAGCCCAGGAGCGCCTCTTTCCTTTTGGGGAGGGACGCACTCCTCGGGGGAAACGGCACGGAACCCCCCAAACCACTTTCAGGCCGCTTCCTTGCATTGCCATCTCCTAAGGAAAAGTTTCCTGGCACAACTTTGCATCCTCCCATCGGGGACCCTATGGCCTTTTTCCCCTGATGGGTCCGCAAAGTTGGCGAGGCAAAGGGGAGCTGGTTCCCGGGCCTGAGGAACTCCGTGCTGGGTGGAAACTAGTTGAAGAACGGGCTCCGTCCCAGCGGGGCACCCACAGCGCCACCCTCGCCCTCCCGGCGCCTCGGCTTCCCTTCCCTTCCCAGCCCCGCGCCCCTCCCGGAGCCCAGCGAGGGCAGCGGCGCCGCCGGCGGGACGCGCGGGGCCCCCGCCCCGGGCGCGCGGAGCCCGTACCTGAAATCGCTGTAGGGGTGGATAATCCAGAAGCCTGCAGTTTTAACCCTTTCCTGCTCCTTCTCCACCGCCTTCTGGCTCCCAAACATGCGGAGGGAGAATTTGTTGACGCCGGGCTGCAGCATGGAGGTGAACTGCCTCTGCATGAAGCCGTACTGCCGCCGGGGTCCCTCGGCGTCCTCCAGGCCCCCGGCCGGCTCATCGCCGCCGCCGTCCACCTTGAAGCACACGGAGTTGCCCAGCTCCTTGGCGCCCGCCCCGCCGCCCCCCGGCGGGCTGCCCAGCCCCTTCTCGGCCCCGGTCGACCCCGCGCCCGTCGCGGGCGGCTTGGCGGGGAAGACGCTGTTGCCATCGTCCCGGCTGCTGGACGACGAGTTGGGCTTGCAGCCTCCTTCCATGCCCGGAGGACGCGGCGGGCGGAGGACGGCACGGGCGGCACACTCGCCGGGGGCTCGGCGCTGCGGGGCGGGGGCCGAGCCGGCTGCGCGCGAGCCCGGCTGCCCGTCGCGGCGGCGGCGGCGGCGGCGGCTGCTGCTTCCCGCCCGCCCGCCGGCTGCTCGCTGCGCGCCTGGCTCCCGCCGCCGCCGCTGCCCTCGGTGGCTGCGCTCCGCTCCGGCTGCGCCGCCGCTGGGCTGGGCTGGGCTGGGGCTGCCGGAGCCAGAGCCTCCGCTCAGCCCGCGCAGCGCCGCCCCGCGGCTGCCCCCTGCCGGCCGGAAGGGTCTGCACGCCGCACACGGCTGCTCGCTCCACTTCTGCCCAGCGTGACATTGAACTCCGGAACTGGGGAGACACTTGTCTCACTGCACGTTGTGATTGTGGGTGTAGAGTATGCAAACAGGAGGCGGACTGAGCTGGCGGATGTACGTTCACCCAAAGAAACAAACATCCTAAAACTCGCTTCGCTGAGACATTGTCACCGTGTTGGACCGCCGGTTTGAATGGTGTTACAGATCGGGAAGGGGACAGGGGGTGGCCGGCTCCGCAGGCAGAAAATGCACGAGTAAAGCTAGATGTACAAGAGAAAGTAAGATTTGCCAATGGATGATAAGTTTCATGAGCAGAAGGGAAGTCCAGTGTGTGTGTGTGTGTGTGTGTGTGTGTGTGTGTGTGTGTGTTCGTATGTGCGTTGGAAGGAAGAGCAGACAGCAAAAGCTACTATGTCTGGGTAACCCCGATTAACCAGCCGCTTATGGCTTTCCAGATGAAGCTCTGTACCCACAGACAACTGACCTCTTTCCACTTATCCCTGCTTATTCTCTCAGAGCTCCTTAAGCAGGAGATGGGATTTCTTTCTCCCCAAGGCCACCACACACACCAACACACCTGCGAGCAGGTAGGTCTTCCCGCCGCCTTTACTGACACAAAAGTGTGCTGGGGAGAGCTGGCCGGAGCTGACCTATCTTTCAGGCAAGTTATGTAATCAGGGAAACCCGGTAGAGGCCTGCGAGTTGGTCAGTGTTCCCCTACGCCTCGCCGGGAAGCGAAGATGACTTGGAATTTGGGCAGAATGCAAACACCGCTTCAGACGGAGAAAAAGTACCCTCAAGTGAAATCTACAGCGCGCTACTAATGCCCAGGCAGGCATTCTGGGCTCCTCTTCCTCCCTCAGTGCCTCCCAAACCCCCCGGATTAGCTAAAGGAAACAAGATGAACTGCCAAGCTCACCAGTCGCTCACAGGGCAGCCCCGCAGCCTGAAGACCTTCAAGGCTCCCCCAAATGTCCCCAAACAGTGTTCAGGCTCCCCGTGAGCTTGGCAGTACATCCCTCTCTTTCCCGTCAGGAGTGGAACAATGTATATTTTAACATAAATCTTAAATGTTATGATAATGTAAAAATATACCACCTAACGTGGTATGCTAACTGAGTTTAAGTCACCTTCTCTTTTCTTCTAGCCAACCCTATTTTGTTCTATTTCAACACCATCTTAATCATGACCAGGCAGTTATTTTAGTCAGCATTTTTCCGACACAAGCATTGTCTTCCTGCCCACAGCCTGTTCCAAGGAAACCCTGCGCCATCAAGCTTCCCTGGTCTCATGGGGTCCTGTCTGCTACAGCCACATTGTGTGGGGCGAGGAACGGGCACCTCAAGGAGAGAATCTGTGACACGCTGGCCACCAATGGCCTGGCATGACAGAGATGAAGCCAACTGGCAATGGGCGAGGTGCGGATAAGGACAAAGGAAGAGAACTGGATGCCTTCACAAGGGGTGAACAGGGCAGAGAGAGGGAGCAGAGAACAGAGAAAAAGGCAGGGGGAAGCAGGACCAAGAAGCCATTAAGCCCAACTGCGTTCTAATTTTTTTATGATTTCCCTCACCATTCTACGTACCACAGCCCATGCTAACTCTCTTTCAGGGAGTTCCATCCTGACTCAGATGCCAAATGTTTTCAACTAACCAAAAACCAGAACCTTAAGGAAATAGTGTAGGTGGCTAAACATCAGTGGTAAGAAATGGGGAAAATAGGAACAATACTGTGCTGTGATCTATCAAAGCAGGGACTTTGGAAACACAAAAGGTCAGAGGAGGACACCAGGTGCCAAGGGCAAGGGAAGCCCAGGGGATGGATGAAGCAAGCACACCTAGAGCCCACCCTTCCCAAGGAAGGCCCCGGCACTCAGGCACTTGCTTCATTAGACCATTCTGCATGCTTCTCCAACCCCTCTATTTTCAGTCAGGAGTGGAACAATGTATATTTTAACATAAATTTTAAAAGTTATAATAATGTAAAAATATATCATCTAACATGTTATGCTGAGTTTAAGTCACTCTCTCTTTTCTTCTAGCCAATCCTATTTGTTCTATTTCAACTTCATCTTATTCATGACCAGGCAGTTATTTTAGTCAGAATTTTTATTGGTTTCAAGGTCTGTACTGAACTAATATGACAGAACTACTAAAAAGCAAGTTTTCAAAATAGAATGAAGAAATAGCTAAATAGGGTCACAAGTCATTAGTGGGTCCAGATGCAGGTTGAGGGTCACTTTTCATTCATTTGCATTCTCAAAATATGCATTTTTAAAATTTAGGGAATGTGTATGATATTCATTTATTAAGGTTGTCAGCAATAAAAAAAAGTCGTTTCTTTACTGTACTTTCAGATTGTTGACTGAAAGACATTTAGAATGTGAACTTAAACAAAAACCTTCCTCAGAAAAGAGAGAACTGGCAAGAAGATTAGGAGTGAAAAGTACAAAAGGATGAAAACAATGAGACAGGCAGAATCAGCAAGTACATTTTAAAATGGGATTCAGTCATGAAACTAGACTTCCGTGGCTAGAACAGATACATTTCTTTCATTGTTTAATTGTTCTATTTTTGAACCCACTGAATGAATTAGAACAGGTTTTTTTTTGAGGAAGAAAGAAATCAGGGTCTGATCATTCGCTCAGCAGGGGTGAGGAGATAAGAAACACAGATGAGAGCAAGCTAGGCTCCACTCTGCTTTAGCTTCCCACTCTCCAGCCCCAGACCTGAGTTTTACTTTCCCATTGTCATTTCCATTTACCCATTACCTCTCCCTTCCCTAACCCTCTCCAGACACATGTGGACCACATCCCAAGACAGGCCTGAAATTTGAGGATAACCTCTTCTTAGCATGTTTCCCTGTCTGTTGATTAGAGTGGTGGATTTTTTGTTTGTTTGTTTGTTTGTTTGTTTGTTTGTTTTTCAGGCATCTTAGAAATAGGACTACCATCATGCTCGACTCTATGTCATTCGATGTCCATGATGTCAAACAAAGTGCTTGGTATTTCGGAGGGATCTAATTTCTGAGGACCCATCTGAGACCATCAATTATGAATTTATTTCATGAGAATGTCCCAACAGTAGTCGGAATGGGTGCTGTTCAGGACATCCCAGGATTATGCATCTTTTAAACAGTTCCCTGTTCCCTTTAATCCTCTGGTTAAGATCAAATTGCAGACAGCAGCAGAAGATTGATATGAAACTAAAATAAAATCATGCAGCAGATGCAAGCACGTGTGAAATGAGACAGAAAAGATAGATGGGCAACTTGAAGTTTGACAGCTTATTGGAAAAGTCTCAGAAGAACTTAAAGGTTTAAAAAATAAAACACATTAGTCTTCTTAGTAGGATACAGATACATGTTAAACACGCATTTCACATGTAAGGAAATAGTGTTGGCTCTGTCTGTGTTAAAGAAAGCAACTGTAAGAAACAGAAAAAAGGATAGTTTACCAAAGGCAACCACACAGCCTCTGTGAGTCTGATGAGCAGGAAAACTCAATTATCTATCTGGAGAGCATCCAGCAATATCATGCTTAATGTGAGGCATTGGGGCTGCTAAAGTCAGAGCAGGACACTCATACCCAGCGTGGCTGCAAAGTGTAATATTTTTAGTTGATAATATTGCTTTCCTGGAAACCCAGAAGAATCAACTGCATAATCATTATAGTTAATAACAAAATTTAGAATGTAAAAACAAAGTCAACCTGGAAAATTATATTAAAAGTGAAAGGATGGAAAAGTAAGGGTTTTCAATTGAGTTTTAAAAATAGCCATCATACAATACCTTTTCTGACCACAGCAAGCAGTTAGAAATTAATAGCAGAAATAAAACTAGAAAACTTAAAAATTTGTGAAAATTAAGCAACACACTCTTAAACAACCAATGGATCAAAGAAGAAATCACAAAGGGAGTTGAAAGAACCAAACAAATATACTACATGAAGAGAAAACTACAGACCAATATCCCTTATGAACATTGATGCATAAGTCTTCAACCAAGTAACAACAAACCAAATATAGCAGCATTTTAAAAGAATTATACATCATGACCAAAGGATTTATTCCTAAATGCAAGGATGGTTCAACATGCAGAAATCATTTATTTTAATACACCACAGTAACAGAATGAAGGAAAAAACATGTAATATTTCACACGTAAGGACATACAGAGTAATGATTTCAAGTGATGAAAAAAGTCATTTGACAAAATCCATTATTTCAAGTGATGAAGAAAATCACTTAGCTATATATGAAAAACCCACAGCAAACATCATATCAATGGTTCATGACTGAAAGCTTTTCCTCTAAGATCATCAATAAGACAAGGGTGCTTGCTTTCAGTATTTTATTCAGCACAGTACTGGAAGTTATGTTTTGTTTAGATATATTTTTGGCTATTAGTTCGCTTTGTAGATCACTATTCCCTTCACTACTATATGGAGGATTACAGTGCATGATAGTTATTGATTTGCGTCTTTTACCCTTTTATGTGAGCTGTACTAGTTTTATAACTTCTAGGGATAACGCCAGCTTACTCTGTGCTGGGCCCTGTGCTGTGTGCTCCGCAGATAGCTCACTTTAACTTTGTAAGGGAAATTCTGTCTCCATTTACCCACTAGGATCAAGAGCTTATACACACAAAAATTTACATAGCTTTTATGTGGTGGAGCTACCTTTTACTCATAGTCTGATTCCAATGCTGTCTGTGACCCTAACTGAAATGATGTACTTATTTTAGAAGAAGTAT